TTTCTTCCTTTTTTTAATCTTGTTTTTTCATCCATATAGTCAAACTATGTCTTTTGATTGGGGAGCTAAATCCATTAATATTTAAAATAATTATTGATAAGTAAGGACTTACTATTGCCATTTTGTTAAATGTTTTCTATATATCATGTAGCTATTGTATTTTTGTCTCTCCTTTCCTCCCTTACTGCCTTTTTTTTTTTTTTTGTATTTTATTGTTTTGTAGTGACATGGTTTGATCTTCTAATTTTCTTTTTTTGAAATATTTTATGGAGGTTTTTTTTGGTGTGTTTACCATTGTCATTACATAAATATTCTGTTTTAAACGTTAACACTTTAACTTCAATTGCATACCTGTTTTATTCCCCACACTTGGTTACTGATGTCACAGAACACATTTTTATATACTGTATACCTATTAACAGGCTTACGGTTAAAACATTTTCAATTACAGTTTACATTCACCATTTTGTATTTATTTCAGGGGTATAAAATGTTTTTGTTATTTCAAGTCTATAAAAATTAAATTTATACACCCAAATTACAACAGTACAGGTGACTATTTGTTCACAGCTAGTGATAATGACTCCCTCAGCTATTGCTTTTCTGAGAAAGTCATTTTTTCCTTCCTTTTTGAATGACAGGTTTGGCATATATTATATATAGCATTCATTGTTGACAGCTTTTTTCTCTATTAAAAAATTATTTTTAAATTGCAGTTTATATTCAGAATTATTCTGTGTTAGTTTCAGATGTAGAGTGTAGTGATTAAAGACTTATGTACTTTACAGAGTAATCCTACCCTGATGTTTCAGGTACTCACCTGGCCCCATAGATATTTATCGAGATATTGACTATATTCCCTAGGGTAGAATCTATATGTATGTGATTAGTCCATAAATACCAATTTGTACTGCTTAATCCCGTCACCTTTTTCACCCAGCTACTGTCCCCTCCCCTTTGACAACTGTCAGTCTGTTCTGACAGTTATATTTTATTTTATTTCAGCACTTTGACTATATTCTCCCACTCCTTTCTGGATTCCAAACTTTCTGCTGAGAAAACAGCTGGTAATCTTATGGAAGCTCCTTTGTATGTGATGAGTCTTTTTTCTCTTGCTGCTTTTAAGATTCTTTATCTTTGATTTATGACAGTTTGATTATAATGTGTCTCAGTGTGGGTCTCTTTGGGTTTATCCTAGTTGGCATGCATTGAGTTAGAATTTTTATGTCCATTTCTCTCCTCAGATTGGGAAGTATTCAACCATTATTTCTTCAGGTAAGCTCTCTATGCCCTTTCTTTCTCTTCTCTTTCTGGGACTTTCACAAGATAAGTGTTGATCTCCTTGCTAGTGTCCCATAAATCCTTTAGGGTTTCTTCACTCACTTTTTTTCTCCTCTAACTTGATGATTTCAAATTACTTATCTTCAAGTTTGGTGATTCTCTCTTTTGCCTGATGAAGTATGTTATTGAAACCCTCTAGTGAACTTTTTCAGTGCAGTTACTATATTTTCATCTCCAGAATTTTAGTTCTTTTAAAAAAATTCTATCTCTTTTTAATGGATCAACCGAAGGACTTGTATACATGCATTTAAGTACAACCAATGGACACAAAACTCTGGGGAGGGAGGATATGTATGGGAGAGGGGGGATGGTAAGATATGTACACAGATAATAATTTAATTAAAAAAATAAAAAAATAAAAATGGAAAAAAAATTCTATCTCTTTGATATTCTAATTTGCCTATTCTTTGTTTTCCTGATTTTATTTATTATCTGAGTTTCTTTTAATTTATTAAGTATCTCTATTACAGGTATTTCAAGTTCTTTGGCAACTCATAGATCTGGAATTTTATTTATTCCTTTGATTGGTTCATGTTTTCCTGTTTCTTTTACGCCTTGTCTTATTTTTTGTTGAGGTTTGGGCATTTGAATAAATAACCACCTCTCCCAATTTTTATGAACTGGTCTTGAGCCTGGAGAGACCTTCACCAAGCTAGAGATTCTAGAATTCTAAAGCCTTTTCTGGGGTTTATCGCCTCTGGGTTGGTGTGTGTGCTTTAGCTGCCTTGAATTCTTGAAGCAGCTTGCCTCTGCATTTTTTCAGAAGCCAGTAATCTCTTATCCTCGCTGCACCGCAGGAGTTCTAATGTGCCATGTCCTTGCCTCTGTTTCTAGTGGCGTTCAAACTGTGCCATTGTTGTCCCTAAGAGGTTCAAGTTGGGTGAGACAGTAACCGGTCACTATCTAAGGCAGACTCCAGATGAGCCAGACACGGGACGCTGAGTAAAATCTCATGTTTCTGTCCTGGTATTGGGAGTTTTCCTTTTAATTGCATTATGCCATAACAGGTTAGGCAGGGGCATAGGTGGGTATGCAGAATTCTAACAATTTTCTTATCTCTTGTTGGAATCCCTTTTTCGTTTTTTGTTGCCCTGATGTTTAGCTTCACAACTGGTCTCTAGAATCCTCACAAAGATAATCTGGTCCATATATTGTTTTATTTCTGAAGTGTAGGACTGTGTGGAAGTGTATATTTAGGAGCCATCATCATAAAGATGGTAACTGAAGCACATGGAGTAAATGAGAATATGTAAATGAGATAATGAAATGAGATAAGTAACAGACCTCATATAGACTTTCAAGTACATCAATATTTAAAAGGTAGACAAAAGGAAAATGGGAGGGAGCATCCAAAAAGGTGGGATAAAAACTAGGATAGGGTTGTATCATAAAAGAAAAGCATGCTAAAATGAGGAGGCAAAATAATAGTTACCAACAATTATTTAGGAGCTGCTGTAAAGACTTTTATACATGTTTTAAAAAAAATCCTTTGTGTAAGTTTGGTACTATTTTAATCCTCAATTTATAGATGAGAGAAGTGAAGCAGAGAGGTCATGCAGCTAGTAATATGTACATTCATTACAAGAAGTTGTTCATTATGTTAAATTCAGAGATGATCTAACATCTGTCAGTTGGTTAAATCTTGGCTTAATATAACCAAGTAATTGAAAGAGAAAGGCAGGTCTTTATGTTTTGAAATGAAATTATTCTATAATATACTTTTGAGTATAAAAGTTAGTTGAGCCAAAAAAGGTTTGGCTCAGTGGATAGAGCGTCGGCCTGCAGACTGAAAGATCCCAGGTTTGATTCCGGTCAAGGGCATGTACCTTGGTTGTGGGCACATCTCCAATGGGGGTGTGCAGGAGGCAGCTGATTAATGATTCTCTCTCATCGATGTTTCTAACTCGCTATCCCTCTCTCTTCCTCTCTGTGAAAAATCAATAAAATATATTTAAAAAATAAAATAAGTTAGTTGAGTGTATATATATATTTTTTAATTTATAATCTTAAAATGTATTCTTGGCTTGGCTGGTGTGGCTCAGTGGTTTAGCATAGATCTATGAACCAGGAGGTTATGGTTCAGTTGCCAATCAGGACACATGCCAGGATTGTGGGCTTGATCCCCAGTGGGGGTCATGCATGAGGCAGCGATCAATGGTTCTCTTTCATCATTGATGTTTCTCCCTCTCTCTTCCTCTCTGAAATCAATTAAAAAAAACATTTTTTTTAATATATATTTGTTTTGCCTTGGCCAATGTTTCTAAGTGGTTAGAGCAACTGAAAAGTTGCAGGGTAGATTTCTGATCAGGGCACGTGTGGAAGGCAATCGGTTGATGTGCTTCTTTCACATTGATGTTCTCTCTCTCTCTCTTTACCTCCTCTCCTCCTTCTCTTCCACTCTCTCTGAAAAATCAATGGAACAAATATTTTGAGGTGAGGATTAACAAATAAACAAAAAGTATATTTGTTTTGTTTGTGTATATTAACTAGTATGTTCATAGGAAAGTGTCTGGAGGTATAAACACTGAGTGGCCAGGTTATTATGATTTCTGAATGCATAATAATCTGGCCACTCAGTGTATATCCTATATAATAAAAGGCTAATGTGCAAATTGTCCCCTCAACCAGGAATTCGACCAGCAGGCAGGCCGGCCAGCCACCTATGTCCCCTCCCTCTACCCAGGCTGGCTGGACCCCACCCATGCACGAATTCATGCACTGGGCCTCTAATACACACACACACACACACACACACACACACACACACACAGTGGCCAGATTATTATGCATTCAGAGATCATAATAATCTGGCCACTCAGTATATATGCAGTTGTTAACTGTATATTTCTGGGAAGTGAGCAGCAATTTTCATTTTTAATTAACATATTTATTAACATACAGCATAAGAACCCTTTGAAGATTCAGTTGAGCCAAAAATATCTGGATTCCCTAGTCGGTTTGGCCCAGTGGATAGAGCGTCAGCCTGCAGACTGAAGAGTTCCAGGTTTGATTCTGGCCAAGGGCACATGCCTGGGTTGTGGGCTTGATCCCCAATGGGGGGCATGCAGGAGGGAGCCAATCAATGATTCTCTCTCATCATTGATGTTTCTATCTATCCTTCCTTCCTCTCTGAAATCAATAAAAATATATTTAAAACAACACACACACACACACACACACACACACACACACAATATTTGGAGAAATTAAATTCATTTTTAATTTATATAAAAATATAGTAGTAGTCAGTTTTAGTAAAGGATAGGGTATTAAGGAATACTACTCTTTTCTTTCAGATCAGATTTCAGTGATTGAGGAATGAATAGGAGAAAAGACAATAATTAACAATGACATTTTATAAGTAAAAGTATAAATCTTAATGCTTTCTATGTCAAAATTAAAAGCTTAAAATATTTTTAAAATTATAGGACAATAGAGTTCACATCGGACCAAAAATGGAAATTCGAGTTGTTACCTTGGGATTAGATGGTGCTGGAAAAACTACTATTTTGTTTAAGTTAAAACAGGATGAGTTTATGCAACCTATTCCAACAATTGGTAAGTATGAGTATTGCTTTTTACCTTAACAAACCTTGGCTTACAGCTGGGTTTTTGGGCTCTTATAATAGTCAATCTCTCATGGAGATGGGCTTTTTTTCCTGCCTGTAAGACACCGGCATTTCAGAGGGAAAATGCAAGATTCAGTGGCTGTAGGATTGAAATGTGGATGGTGAGATAATAAGAAGGAACAGAATTTTGGTGGGACAAGTGGGAAGGAATGAGTGGTGACCTTGTTGAGGGTTAAGGGTGAGGGGATGGTAGTGGTACAGAGTTCGCAGATATTTGTGTTTTAAGGTCCTAAGGATCCAATTTTAGTTATAGGGGACTAATAACTGATAAAGGTATACATTACCCTCATAGGTTGATTAGAAGTGGAGTTGGTTGGGCAGAATAGATATTGCTGTTTGAAGATAATTGTAAGTCACAGTGATAAACGGGGAGATACCTTGTGTTGGTGTGTCACTCACTATAAATATAAGTTCAGTATTAAAATAACGTTTTTTCTTGCTGAAACCAGTTTGGCTCAGTGGATAGAGCGTCGGTCTATGGACTGAAGGGTGCCAGGTTCGATTCCGGTCAGGGTCATGTACATTGGTTGCGGGCACATCCCCGGTGGGGGGTGTGCAGGAGGCAGCTGGTCGATGTTTTTCTCTCATCGATATTTCTAGCTTTCTATCCCTCTCCCTTCCTCTCTCTGAAAAATCAATAAAGTATATTAAAAAAATAAATAAAATATTTTTAAAAAAGGAATATGTCCTTATGGCCCTTTTCCTATTAAAAAAATAACTTTTTTTCTTAAATACAGGTTTTAATGTGGAAACTGTAGAATATAAAAATCTGAAGTTCACTATTTGGGATGTAGGTGGAAAACACAAATTAAGACCATTGTGGAAACATTACTACCTGAATACCCAAGGTAAGAGAATAAAATGACATCTTACTTTTTCAGATTTCTAGGATGCCAGTTTTCAGTATATTGATTTACTTAAATAGTAAAGCTGATATTTAAGCATTTATTAAATATTGATTATACCTTTAAATATTGGTGGCCAGCCTCACATTATTTAAGAAACGAGGTGGAAAGGCTGGAATATGTACTTTGGTATAGTTCATGAAAAAACCATAATTATAGCATAAAAATAATACTTAGCTTATATATGTGGGCTGTTATGAGTACTGCTCGTTAACAGTTAAATTCTTAGTGTCATGAGTATTATCCCTGGCAGTATTGTGGAATATGGAATTTGTGGTGTATGGTTATGCTGCTCAATTCAATGAAACATTTATCCCATTATAATATCTGAAAAGCTCCATTTTCATTCACAGTTATCTGCAGAACCACCGATAGTGGTTTGCTGTAGACCAAACTCTGATACGTCACATATATTTCACCCAGCATTTATTCATATTTGGGCCCCATTCTAACTTTTGCCTCCTATATCCCAATATGAAGCTTATGTTTCTGCCTTTTCCATACGTCATTCTACTTTCTGCCTAGAAGAGAGATTAGATAATTATGTTTATTTTCGGATTTTTTATATTTAGTATGAGCCAATGATTAATGGAAAAAAAGGAATTTTGATCATGAGGAATGGTTAAATGTCTGAATATGTTGTCTGAATACTAAAGAGTATTCATTCAATAAATATTTATCAAGTTACTGCTGGGTATTTTGAATACAATCTATGTGGAAAGTGCTGTGCTTGGTGCCTAGAAAGAGTACTTTGGGGAGATAAAGGTGGTGATTTATTTGTAAAGGATTCTCTCTTTGTAAAAGAAGTAGTAATCAATGAGTCAGTAGCACCAATAGGTAGATCATGAGAGGTACATTTTCATTCATTAAGAGGAAATATTAATTGGTAGAGCAAGTGTAAATCCTGTTATGGGTGGGGAAATGAAAGCTGAAAAGTTACGTGACCTATTTGAGATCATGCCATTAATTATTGCTCCTATAATAAGCAGCCTTTTCATAAAAATAACGGTAGAATACCCATAATATTATAATGAGAACATTAAATATTTTGTCCATTTACTGAAACTTAGCAGGTGACTAACTGAAATTTTTGTCATTTTGTTGGTAGCTGTTGTATTTGTTGTCGATAGCAGTCATAGAGACAGAGTTAATGAAGCACACAGTGAGCTTGCAAAGTTGTTAACAGAAAAAGAACTCCGAGATGCTTTGCTTCTGATTTTTGCTAATAAACAGGTAACACATTTGTATTTCAGAATACTTATTTTTAGTAGTTTTGTGTATTTCACATCATAAGGTAGCTAGAAATATTTCAAAAGAGAAATAATTAGTAGATATTTATGAAGTTTCTGCTAAATATTCTGAATGCAATCTATGTAGAAAGTACAAATTCTGTGCTTCATACCTTGGAGTATTCAAAAAGAAGTTAAGGCAGTTGATGTTCTCGGGAAACTCCAATGTATTTAAGTAAACATGTAAGTGAATATTTATGACATTCTAATACAAAGAAAACTGGTAAGTAACTTCAGTCATATTAACAAAGTGTTACGGCAAATTAGAGTAATTCTATAGGTGACATCTTATAAGATTTATAAAAAAAAAAAAGTAGGATTTTGGTTGAAATTATGGATAAGTCTTTGAATAGTATGTGAAGGCAAGAATATGGTAGGCAGATAAAATAAAAGCATTTGTATTTTTAGGGCGCATCCAGTGAACCTATATGTGAGGAGCAGGTAGAGGATGAAGAAAATCTAGAAAAACAGATGAGGCCACATTGTGGGATATTTAGGTTTTATTCTGTGAGGAAAGGAGAACCATCAAAAGGTTTTTGGATTGGTTGATTGTAAGATCGCATCATTGATTTCAGACTGTAATCCTGGTGGTAGGATGTAGAATTAATAAAGGCTAGAGACAGGAAGATGCAGTAAATTGCTGCAATGATTCAAGTGAGCGATTTAACAAGATCCCTATTTAGGGGAATAGATAGGCGGAAGCAGATTGAAGATATTTTATGATGGTAGAATTGTTAGAATTTGGTGATTGAAAGGGGAGGATGAAGGACAGGGAATAGCAGAAGATTTCTAGATCTTGACCAAGGTTTCTAGGAGGATCAAAATGGTTTTAACTGCCACAGAGTGACTTACATGTTATAAGGAGGAATAGGATGAGGAATATAGGATCCCCCTAATTAAAAATTGGCCAAAATAAGCCGATAGGCTTCACTGTACTTATGATTAAAGACATACAAATAAGACAAAATAAAATATCATTTTCTTATGATCACATTGTGAAAGACAAAAATCTTTGAGAATCATCAGACTCACATACACTGTGCTGTGGTTATTAAACTGAAACATTTTCTTAGGGAGAAATGCTTATACCCTCTTACTCTGTAATTATACCTCGAGTAATAGGTATATCCTGCAGACAGATATCCTAAGATTATTCCACAGATACTTTTGCAAATTATATAAAAAAAAATGTATAAATATGTATGTATTTGTAATAGCACATAAGCACACAGCTTCACTATAGGATTGGAACATTTGGTATAGTACTGGTAAAGAAAATGATGTTGCACCTGCACAGTGGAATGCAATTCACATGTTAAAATTAATGTGGAAATCTGTTTGTCCTGCTAATGGAAAGCTACCTATATTCAACATGTGTGTTAAGTAAATAACGAACAAAATTAGAGTATGTTTCTGTTTGTGTTTATTCATACAAATGTGCATGAAAATTTTCTGGAAAAATATGAGAATATTATGTGTATGTATCTTTCAGGATGTTGCTGGAGCCCTTTCAGTAGAAGAAATTACTGAACTTCTCAGTCTTCACAAACTGTGCTGTGGCCGTAGCTGGTATATCCAGGGCTGTGATGCTCGAAGTGGGATGGGACTATATGAAGGGTTGGACTGGCTCTCACGGCAGCTTGTGGCTGCTGGAGTATTGGATGTTGCTTGATTTTAAATGCAGCAGTTGTTTCAAGTTTTGTGGTTAAGAGTTCTTTTGCACATAATATGTTGTAAGAAATTCTACATCTCAAAGATAGTTAATTTAGGATATGTATATGAAAGGAATTTTGGATTGGGAATTCAGTACAATATTGCTTTACCAAAATTATTCTATGGCAACATTTAAATATCTTATTGAGATTAAATTGGATTAAATAGGGACTTCTTTAGTTTGTATTTTTTAAAATGTACATTTGTTAGTGATTTTTTAAGATTATATGTGACCCATATATTGAGAAAGAAATAGTTACAGAGAAAGGGTAAGTGAAAGTGTATTCTTATAGCCAACCGAGTGCCTAAAGACCTCAGTGCAGTAAGTGAAACATGGCTTCTTGTCTTTCCTGAATTCTGGCAGTATTTAGTAGTAAGAATGGTAATGACTTAATGAAATAGGATCCACAAATTGCATCTTTGGGTTATAGGATTACTTTTACCTTTAGTAACAGAAAAACTTTAAAGCTAAGACTATAAGCTATAGAAAATTAATATTTTATACAGTGTTTTATTAAGACTTTCTCCTAAAGCATTTTGTATAAAACCCAGTGAGTCAAAATGAAATGCTGCCTAACTAGGCCTGATTTGTAACATTGGTACTAACCTGAAGAATAATTAATAATAATAAAACTGTGAAAGTCAGTTATGTTCTAGATGATCTTCACTTATGAAAGACCAGTTTTCAGAGCTGAACCTGGATGTATTATTTCCTAGGTTATAACTCTAAACTAGCCCTTCTACCTTTTCAGCATATTTAAAGTACTTATTGTTTTTTTTTTTAATTGCATCCTTAGTGAGAACTACTATACATAAAAGGTAGTAAGTACACAAAGAACCAGGGTTGCCTTTACATAAAAGAAACATCTAAGTAGAAAATTACCTTTACCTTATGAGAAGTCATTTAAACAGTGTGTGTGTGTGGGGGGGGGGGGAATGCTTAGCATTTACATCATTTGAAATGTTTTACCAAAATAAGTGCATTTATCTTGACAATAAACACAATTAAGGTTCTTTGTGACAAGACCTTGAAAAGCTAAGAGAAAAGCACATCTAAGAAAAGAAGAAATATTGAAAAAGTTAACATCACATTTCTTATGCAGTATTGTAAAAGTTTAGAAAATTCTGTACTCTTTACTGGTTTTCATATTTTAAGGATGTTCTCTTATTTTGGCAGTATAATTTATTATGTTTGAACATAGCTAGATTGGATTTCTTGTGTTTTTTCTTTTAATCCTCACCCAAGGACATGCTTAGAGAGAAAGAAAAATATTAACGTGAAAAGAGAAACATGGATCAATTACCTTCTGAATGCTTCCTAACTGGGGATCAGACCTGCAACCCAGGATTGTGTCCTGACTGGGAATCAAACTGGCAACCTTTTGGTGCAAGCGATGACGCTCAACCAACTGGGCCACTCTGGCCAGGCGGATTTCATGGCTTTTTAAAATGCTTTTTATATTTTAGGATGAAGTTCAATCATAATCTTAGTTGAACTACTATGAGGACATTAATGTCTGATGACAAGATATGACTTGGTGGTACTGTTTTAGTTCATTCTTTACAAATATATTTTTGTTTAAAAACAAAATACATTTTAATTTCTAATACTTTTAGAAAACAAAGCACTAAAAAACTGTCCATTAGTATTATGGGCATTGTGTAAATAATATAATTATATTGTCCTTTATTTTTCAAGTAAAAGGTCATGCTGTTACTTGTGTAGTTTGTGCATATAAATAACACTTATGAATTAAATTATTTAATATTGGACTGATTGCAATAACTGTGAAAAATAAAGATGTTACATTTGCCTGTGAGCCCTTGAACTGTTTATCTAATAGGTAATTGAAAGAAAAATGTCTAACACTAATATGTAAACTTGCTTTCCTTGTAAATTATTTTTACTTTACTAATTTTGTTAAACTTTGTAATTCACATTCTTAG